GACTTGTTTGTAGTGCATGGCTGTTCTTTTCTGAGCTCCTCATGTTGGTCTAAGAATTGCTTTTTGGTTGTTTTTGCACATTAATTTCCTCCTTTCATTGAAAGATGTGTTTGCACAGGGTCAGTGAGAGAAAAAGTGGAATATCCGATCATTTAAAGCTGATGTCAATGACGAGATTTGATAAATAAATAAATGTTTATATGTTTTTTAAAGTGGCAAATCAAATTGTTTAACTGATGCAATACCTGGAAGCAAATGATGAAAAATCCATCTCATATTAGTACATATCCAAGTAATTACAAGAAAAAAACTTCACATCTCACCTGTATATGGCCTTGTTGAATCACAGACAAAATATGATCTCCAGAAAGATGATTCATATTCCCTGATTTTATACCTAGTGCAGAAAAAAAAGATCAAATAAATAAAAAATTTTATATGTATTAACAAAAACGAAATCTAAGATTTTAGCACACACACATATACAATCACTGGCCACTTTCCAAGTGCTCATCAAGGCAAATTTCTAATCAGCCAATCACATGGCAGCAACTTAATGCATTTAGGCATGTAGACATGGTTAAGATGATCTGCTGCAGTTCAAACTGAGCATCAGAATGGGGAAGAAAGGGGATTTAAGTGACTTTGAACATGGCATGGTTGTTGGTGCCAGACGGGCTGGTCTGAGTGTTTCAGAAACTGCTGATCTACTGGGGTTTTCATGCACAACCATCTCTAAAGGTTACAGAAAATGTTCTGAAAAAGAGAAAATATCCAGTAAGCGGCAGTTAGGTAGGGGCAAATGCCTTGTTGATGCCAGAGATCAGAGGAGAATGGTTAGACTGGTTCCAGCTGATAGAAAGGCAACAGTAACTCAAATAAGCATTCGTTACAATTGAGGTCTGCAGCAGAGCATCTCTGAACGCACAACACATCCATCCATGAGGCAGATGAGAGCAGAAGACCACATTGGGTGTCACTTCTGTCAGCTAGGAACAGGAAACTGAAGCTACAATTGGCACAGGCTCACCACAATTGGACGATAGAAGATTGGAGAAATGATGCCTGGTCTATTGAGTCTCCATTTCTGCTGCCACATTTGGATGCTCGGCTCAGAATTTGGCCTCAACAACATGAAAGCATGGATCCATCCTGCTTTATATTAACGGTTCATGCTGGTGGTGGTGGTGTAATGGTGTGGGGGATATTTTCTTAGCACCCATGAGTACCAATTGAGTGCTGTGTCAACGCCACAGCCTACCTGAGTATTGTTGCTGTCCACGTCCATCCCTTTAAGACCCTTTAAGATCTTCTGATGGCTACTTTCAGCAGGATAACGCACCATGTCATAAAGCACAAATCATTTCAGACTGGTTTCTTGAACATGACAATGAGTTCACTGTACTCAAATGGCCTCCACAGCTAGCAGAGCTCAATCCAATAAAGCACCTTTGGAATGTGGCGTAACATTAGATTGGCATCATGGATGTGCAGTTGACAAATCTGCAATAACTGCGTGATGCTATCATGTCAATATGGAGCAAAATCTCTGAGGAATATTTCCAGTACCTTGCTGAATCTAAGCCATGGAGGATTAAGGCAGTTATGAAGCCAAAAGGGGGTCCAACCCGGTACTAGTAAGTAATAAAGTGGCCAGTTAGTGTATATTTAATATGTATGTGATGCACACATACATAAAAACAAAACTATTTTTTGCACAGGCATCTAAATTTATATATGATTTGCATCATATCCATATATATTTTAGATTTAAATCTAAATAAATATTTTCTTAAATATAAGCATGCATGTCTTTATGTATATATACAGTTAAAATCAGAATTATTAGCCCCCTGTTTTTTCCACAAGTTTTGTGTAGCTAATAAATTGAGTGTATGTATGCATATGTATGTGTGTATATATATATATATATATATATATATATATATATATATATATATATATATATATATATATATATATACACACACACACACACACACACATACAAATACATACGTTTTTTTTTTTCAAATATTGTTATGTTTAATGCAGAAAATATGTATTTCCACAGAATTTTAAGCAGTTTTAATAACTAATTCCTAATGACCAAGATAACAACACATTTAAATAGTTTAAACAAAGACACTAGTATTCAACAGTTTAAGGCTTAACTAGGTTAATTTAGTTACTAGGCAAGTTATTGGACAACAGTGCTTTGTTTTGTACCCTACAGAAAAAAATATATCTTAATCACTTTTTTTCTTATTTCAGCCAAACTACAAGACATAAAAATTTCTCCTGAAGAAAAATATAATCGGAATTGCTTTGAACATTTCCTTGCTCTGTTAAGCATCACTTCAAAAAACAATTAAAATTTTACAGGAGTGCTAATAATTTTATCTTCAGCTGTATGTTAAACTTAAATCTATTCTAAGTGTGAAGTGTTGTCTGAAAACATTAAAAGAACATTTAACATTTTTATAAAGAACATCTGGAAACACCTCTGTTGATTTGACACAGGAACTGTTGCGGTTTTTCAAGTGAACGGCAGGTAAGTCTCATTACACTAACAGGCAGGTGTTGTGTGTGGCGCTGCTCCATAATGTATATGCCATCGGGGAGGCTGGGCAGTGAAGTGTGTGAGCGGAGCGGCTCACTGTCGGACACACATGTCAGAGCGTCTCAACCCCGTCTCTCCACGGAGAAGCCCAACACACGCCTGACAAATCTGTACAAGCAGTCATCTGCTCACTCAGCTGCACACACACACACACACACACACACACACACACACGCACACACAAAGCAGAAGTGCTGCTTCACAGTGAGAAAAGTCACAGCAATCAATAGCAGACTGCAGAAAATATGCCAAGTTCTCTGTTGCTCGTATTTATTATTTAATTGATGACTGAGGATGTTTTATTTCACGTACTGTAGGGCACAGAACATTAATACAATAAAAAAGTCATTAATTGATTAATGAATAATTCTTACTTCATATGAAATGTTACTCTCTTTGGCTAAAATCATCTGCAGACACATCAACCTGCTGAAATGAACTTCATATTTTGGTTTTACGACAAAGAAAATTATTGCATGATCATTATGGAGTTGGTAAGAAATGATATTGTGCATGAAAAAATATTTGTTTTAGGCAAACAGTAACTGATTTACTAAAACAAAAAAGGTAAAAAGAAAAACAATCAAAAGAGCAACACCTGTGGCAAATGATATTTAAAACGGATGGATGGATGGATGGATGGATGGATGGATGGATACATTAAACAATAGAACAATATAGATTGAACAACAGATAGATTGAAAGAATGAATGATAGATAACTGATAGAATGAAACAGATTAAACAATAGATAGATTGCATGATTTAAAGATTGAATGAAAGATAAATTGAATTATAGAAGGATAGATAGATTGAACAAGATTGAATAATAGAACAACAGATTGAATGATAAATAGATAAATAGATTAAACAATAGATAGACTGAACTAGATAGATAGACTGAACTAGATAGATAGATAGATAGATAGATAGATAGATAGATAGATAGATAGATAGATAGATAGATAGATAGATAGATAGATAGATAGATAGATAGATAGATAGATAGATAGATAGATAGATGGATAGAACAAACGATATAGGTAGAGATATAGCAATAGAGATTGAATAATGGAACAATAGATAGACTGAACAATAGACTGATAGATGGATTGAATGTTAGATTGAATGATAGAACAATACATTGAATGTTAAGACGATACAGATTGAACAACAGATAGATCAACGAAAAATAGATTAAACAATAATACAATTTAGATAGATAGATAGACAGACAGACAGACAGACAGACAGACAGCTAAATAGGTTAAACCATAGAAACGATAAAGACTGAATGATAGATAGACTGGAAGATGGATAGATTTAATAATAGATAGATTGAATTGTCAGCCTGATCTCACGAGAAAACGTAAGTATTTTACGTTTTGCCAGTTTAGTGGCTAATTTGTACGATTTCAGTCGTACGAAAGATACGATTTTAAAAAGGAGGCGTGGCACCTAACCCCACCCCTAACCCCAACCGTCATTGGGGGAAAAGCAAATTATACTAAATTGTACGAATTAGATTGTACAAATTCATACGAATTAGCCACTAAATGAAAAAGTTACGAATTGCCGTGAGATTGTGTTGGAATTGTAGAACGACAGATAGACTGAACAATACAATGAATGATAAAGCGATAGAGATTGAATGATAGATAGATTGAACAATAGATTGAACGAGAGTGATAGATAGATTGAATGATAGAATCATAGACTGACTGAACAATAGACTGACAGATAGAGTGATCGATAGAACAATAGATTGAATGGTAAAACGACAGATTGAACAGATAGATTGAAAGATATAGATTGAACAATAGATAGACTGAACAATAGAGTGAATAATAGAATGAGAAAGATTAAACGATAGATAGATTGGATGATATATAGATTGAATGATAGAACAATAGATTCAACTTGATTGAACGATAGAGCGATATATAGATTGAATGATAGAACAACAGATAGACTAAACGATGGACTAATAGATTGAATGATAGACTGATTGATAGAACAATAGACTGGTAAACGATAGATAGATAGATAGATAGATAGATAGATAGATAGATAGATAGATAGATAGATAGATAGATAGATAGATAGATAGATAGATAGATAGATGATAGATAGATAGATAGATAGATAGATAGATAGATAGATAGATAGATAGATAGATAGATAGATAGATAGATAGATAGATAGACTTATATCTGTGTATAGTCTGACTTATATATTTCCTTACTGTCTACCACTGTGACTCTTTGCATGTGTGTTATTATATTTAACACTGCAGTATATGAAATCTTCACGTGTTCTTATTAGTTACACAGTTTATTTACGTTATGATGGTTATGATGTTTTGTTGATACTTTTTTATTTTAAATTTTCATTGTTATAATATTTCTCCTCATATTTTTCAATACTGCATTTATAGATGTGAAGAAAATACAAAGTGATATAAAAGGACAGATAGACAGAGCGATAGACAGACAGAGAGAAAGACAGAAAGATCTGTCAAGAGAGAGCGAGAGCGAGCGAGTGTAAGTCAGCAGTGTCTGAGGTCTCCAGAGGCAGGATTATCTGTCTGTTTGCCCCAGGCAGGGCTGTTCTGAGGGGGGATTAGACCTCCAGACCTGCTCCTCGGCTGGATTACCGCTCACTGCCTGCCTCTCCCGCTCTTTATGGACCAGCAGCCACTGTTCGTCCTCTTCTCCAACACACCACTGACTCTCCAGCAGACCCCTGCACATCTGCATCTCCACCTCCGCCAATTACCCTATACACACACATGGAAAAACACATTGTTCTTTACATCACCTGAGCTGATGAGCTGCTCGTTATTGATCAATAGAACTATAACAGTATTTAAAAAACATGACAGTTAGAGACATACTATATGTGCATTATTATCTAATTATTCAATGGACCGCTGTCAATTATTCCGTTTACTCTATGGTTTGCATATAGATAGATTTAAATGACAGAACAATAGAAAGAATAACAGATAGACTGAACAGATAATTGAACGTTAGAATGATAGACAGATTGAAAGATGGAACAATAGATAGATTGAATGACAGATTGAACAACGGATTGAATGATAGATGGACTGAATGATAGTTTGAATGATAGAACAATAGATTGAACAATAGAGTGATAGATTGATTGAATAATAAAATGACAGACAGATTGAACGATAGATTGGATATATTGGATAGATTGAACAAACAGTAGATAGACTGAATGATAGATAGACTGAAAAATGGACTGATAGATAGATTGAACAATACATAGATTATATGGTAAAACGATAAACTGAACAATTGATAGCTTGAATGAACAATAAAGATTTAAGATAGATAGATTGAACAATAGACTAAATGATAGACTGATAGATAGATTTACAATAGACAGATTGAATGGTAAAATGATAGATAGATAGATAGATAGATAGATAGATAGATAGATAGATAGATAGATAGATAGATAGATAGATAGATAGATAGATAGATAGATAGATAGATAGATAGATAGATAGATAGAAAGACAGACAGACAGACAGACAGACAGACAGACAGACAGACAGACAGACAGACAGACAGACAGACAGACAGACAGACAGATAGATAGATAGATAGATAGATAGATAGATAGATAGATAGATAGATAGATAGATAGATAGATAGATAAACGATAACGATAAAGACTGAATGATAGATAGACTGGAAAATGGATAGATTGAATAATAGATAGATTGAATTGTAGAACGACAGATAGATTGAACAATACAATGAATGATAGAGCGATAGAGATTGAATGATAGATAGATTGAACAATAGATTGAACGAGAGTGATAGATTGAATGATAGAACGATAGACTGACTGAACAATAGACTGATGGATAGATTGATCGATAGAACAATAGATTGAATGATAAAACAACAGATAGATTGAAAGATATAGATTGAACGATAGACTGAACAATAGAGTGAATAATAGAATGAGAAAGATTAAACGATAGATAGATTGGATGATGTATAGATTGAATGATAGAACAATAGATTTAACTTGATTGAACGATAGAGCGATGTATAGATTGAATGATAGAACAACAGATAGACTAAACGATGGACTAATAAATTGAATGATAGATTGATTGATAGAACAATAGACTGGTAAAACGATAGATAGATTGAACAACAGATAGATAGAACGATAGATTGAACAAAACAGATAGATAGATAGATAGATAGATAGATAGATAGATAGATAGATAGATAGATAGATAGATAGATAGATAGATAGATAGATAGATAGATAGATAGATAGATAGATAGATAGATAGATGCATCAAACGATACAGCAATACAGAGAGAAGGATAAATAGATTGGACAATAGATCGATTGAATTATAGACTGAATTGTAGAGTGACAGATTGAACGATAGACTGAACGATAGAGCGATAGAGAGATTGAATGATAGAATGATAGACTGAACAAAAGACTGATAGATAGATTGAACGATAGATCAATAGACTGAATGGTAAGATGATACAGATTGAACAACAGATAGATTAAATGCAAGATAGATAGAACGATAAAACGATAAAACGATAGATAGATAGATAGATAGATAGATAGATAGATAGACAGACAGACAGACAGACAGACAGACAGACAGACAGACAGACAGACAGACAGACAGACAGACAGACAGACAGACAGACAGACAGATAGATAGATAGATAGATAGATAGATAGATAGATAGATAGATAGATAGATAGATAGATAGATAGATAAGGCTGTTGATGTTGCCGTCCACTCTGCAGATCGCTCGCACGCCCCCATACTGAATGTAACCTCAAACCACGATTGTTCCTTCACCAAGCTTTCCGTGAGAATCTTGGGTCCATGCGGGTTCCAGTAGATCTTCTGCAGTATTTGTACTGATTGGGATGCAGTTCAACAGATGATTAATCTGACAAATCTCCCTTCAGCCACTTTTCCAAATGATCAACTAGAAGTCATTTCAGTTATTATTTGTTGCTCTTACAACTGGGATATAAGACAAGGCTTTTGTCAGGTAGTGTCCCCTTTAATTTGTCAAAGAAGTACCTTATTTCCATTTAGCTTAGCATAATACTAAAATAATTACAACTAAAATGAAAATATAACAACGCACACAATAAGATTACAAAAACTTCAAATAAAAATATGTTACTTTTCTAGTAATAGCAAAATAGCAGTGATCCACAGTGTTTGCATATTGCTTAATACACACAATAAAAACTGCATAACACACAAACATGGGCTAAAACAGTCCACTTTAATTAGTTTGCACTATTTTCGTTGTTATTTTTTCTGCATTGCATGAATTCTAATTACATTTAGAACCAAATTTCAATTAATCTACTATCCTAATGTTATTTTCAGGCTAAAAGCTCATTTTCAAAGCTATCTGGGACAGCTTTTTGTGTTTTAATGAATGATTCATACAATTGATTATATTATAGATTATATTTATCTTTATTTAGATTATATTTATCACACGTCATGATTTTGCCGAGTCCAATGTGACCCTGGATTACCATCTATGTTGAGCATGGAACATCATTTTTGTAGTAAAATGTAATCCATACCTATTCCTTACCCCTAAACCCAAACTGTAAATGATTCCCCAAATCAATAATAGTTGGATAACAATTTTGCAAAAGTGCATAAACCTAAGTCTAAAGTCTAAACTTAACAAACGCTAAACATATCCCTTAATTCTGATTGGCTGATTGAAATGTTGCAGGATCAACATAGATGTTAATCCAGGAAAATGTCCTACTTGGTGAAATCTGCTACATTTATCTTCTCTGTCCAATGCATTGGAAGCCCTATAATCCCTTGAAATACAGTCTTTCTAGTCAGCTCACTAAGATGTGTAAAAGCTATTATGTTTCAGGGAATACACCGATATATAAATAAAAAATATATAAATACATATCACACATACTTCCTGCCAGCGTAAGATGTGGAGCTCACAATAGCTGCAGCGTTCACTCGTGTTTAATTGGCCTTGTCTGAGAATGGAAACGTGCTTTACAGTATTGAATCTTGAAATAGAATAAATACACTTGGCACGCTCATTATTACTAATCCTGAGAGGCTAGTGTGTGTGTGTGTGTGCGCGTGTATGTGTGTGGTGGGATGTAGACAGTTGGCAAGCGTGTGCACTGCAGCTCCTTAACAAGCCCGACACACACAGACACACACATGCATGCATGCACACACACTCTGTAACCCCACACACTGAGGGTCGCTGACCTGCATATATTAGGCGCACCATCGAATGCAAATGAGCCGGCATGGCTTGTCCTCTGCTTGGCTGATCTCTGCTCAGCTGCTCCACACAATGATGCTCTTCTGCAAACTCTCACTCTTCGCAATCTGGGTTTAAGTTCAGTGTCGTCATGTCATGTCACGCCTACAGGCCTCTTCTGCAGTCTGTGGATGATATATACTGTACATTAGATCAACCCAGTGGCGCAGGACGTGTATATATATACATATATATATATATATATATATATATATATATATATATATATATATATATATATATATATATATATATATATATGTATGTATGTATGTATGTATGTATGTATGTATGTATGTATGTATGTATGTATGTTTGTATGTATGTATGTATGTATGTATGTATATAAAATAACTTTTTTTCAAAAATGTCACTTTATACATTTTTTTTGTTTTTAACACGCTAGATTTTCTTTTTGTGTCAAAACCAGCTAAATCCAATAGTGCTTTTTATGCAAAAACCTCTAAATCCACCTATTGAGACAAGACAGTGTAATTAGGTAAAAAAAAAATCACTAAAGATGCAATTAGAGGTTATTTTACCAAACATAAAACATCTAAAAATATGTAAATCTGTCAAGTAAGTGAAGGTTCATTCCTCTGTGGTAACCCCTGGGTTACCAGGGACAATGCAGAAAGAAAATGATTAATCAATAACATAAAAACTGACATTAATTAAATCCTAAAAATCTTTTGTCATTTCTGAAATTTGGGATTTAGATTTAATGTAAGTAGAGTAATGTAAACATTGCAAACATTGTAAGCTAAGCTTGGTAGATTCAAATAATGTAAACACATTATGAATCATCAATATCTGTGCATTGTCCATTAATATAAAAAGCTTATCAGGCGTATAGGTATTATGAAGAAATACAAATAATGAATAGTTTTATCCATTATATTTATCTTTTAAAAAATTGCTTAAATTAGCAAATAAAACACAAGGTAGGCCTACTGGGCAAAAAGGAGATGTCTCTCAGACAATTTTAGAAGCTGTCACTTATTCATTCTCACCATACTTAAGGTCTTGGTCTCTTGTTTATCCTCAAAGCATCCAAGTGGGATAAAAGAACGGCATCTCTGTCTTTCATGAAACGCAGTTGCCGTTTAATGTAAAGTAAATCGGACTAATTCAAAATAGCGTCGCCGCAAAAAAAGGTTATGATTGCATGCTACAGTTCTGACTGTACAGAGTGTTTTCCTTTTCTTATAATGCACAGAGTTTGGGGTAAGGGACGTTTTCACTTGCCATTCACTGAGAGTCGGACAGGCTCATCCAGTTCATCAAACTTGGTCTTTAAAAATCGAAATCGAAAGCAGAATAAAACAGCCTCATAAAGCCGGCGTATCAGCGTGCTGGTACATTAAAAACATATGATTCGATTTGTGTCTTTTGACTGGTTCTCGGTATATAGTCAAAGGCAGGTGGTGTTTAGCGGCTTTTGCCAACAAACTGTTATTTCTGAATGCGCTGATGCTGCAATTTGCATGAAGAACTGGAGAAACTAAATTGGCAGTAGTATGCGTGTGAATGCTTTTCTATGAATGTTTCCATGTTCTGGGTTGCAGCTGGAAGGGCTTCCGCTGTGCAAAACATATGCTGGAGTAGCTGGCGGTTCATTCTGCTGTGAATCACCTATTCCACCACATCCCAAATGTCCTCTATTGGACTGAGCTCTGGTGACTGTGGAGGCCAGTTGAGTACAGTGAACTCATTGTCATGTTCAAGAAACCAGTCTGAGATGATTCACGCTTTATGACATGGAGCGTTATCCTGCTGGAAGTAGCCATTAGAAAATGGGTACACTGTGGTCATAAAGGGATGGACATGGTCAGCAATGCTCAGGTAGGCTGTGGTGTTGACACGATGCTCAATTGGTACTAATGGACCCAAAGTGTGCCAAGAAAGTATCCCCCACACCATTACACCACTAAAACCAGCCTGAACTGTTGATACAAGGCAGGATGGATCCATGCTTTCATGTTGTTGATGGCCAAATTCTGACCCGACCATCTGAATGTGGCAGCAGAAATGGAGACTCATCAGATCAGGCAACGTTTCTCCAATCTTTTATTGTCCAGTTTTGGTGAGCCTGTGTGAATTGTAGCCTCAGTTTCCTGTTCTTAGCTGACAGGAGCGACATCCAGTGTGGTTTTCTGCTGCTGTAGCCCATCTGCCTCAAGGTTGGACGTGTTGTGTGTTCAGAGATGCTCTTCTGCAGACCTCGGTTGTAACGAGTGCTTATTTGAGTTACTGTTGTCTTTCTATCAGCTGGAACCAGTCAGGCCATTCTCCTCTGACCTCTGGCATCAACAAGGCATTTGCGCCCACAGAACTGCCGCTCACTGGATATTTTCTCTGTAAACCCTAGAGATGGTTGTGCTTGAAAATCCCAAAAGATCAGCAGTTTCTGAAATACTCAGCCGATCTGGCACCAACAAACATGCCTTGTTCAAAGTCACCTAAATCACCTTTCTTCCCCAGTCTGATGCTCGCTTTGAACTGCAGCGGATCGTCTTGACCATGTCTACACGCCTAAATGCGTTGAGCTGCTGCCATGTGATTAACTGATTAGAAACTTGCGTTAACGAGCAGTTAGGCAAGTGTACCTAATAAAGTGTCCAGTGAGTGTATATTGGTTAAATATTAGGACACGGAATATATATTTTGCGCTGGACATTATTTTTGACACTATTGTAAATAAATAGCACTTTTTTGCACACATCCAGATCAATCCATCGGTTATTTGGATTTTTATTTTTAGGCCTTCCACGCTTCTGCTCTGGTTTCACTACATCACACGGTCCTTCTCTCAAAATGGCAGCTTGATGCTTCAGCCACATTATTCTTAGCCACGCCCCTCTCTTACCATTAGTTTGCTACAAGGCAATGAAGCACAAAAAGAAAGCCCCGCCCCCACATCGATACTTAGCACATTAACGTACTGGAATAAAAGTCACGTAGACTTCAAACCAGTTCCAGTTGTCTGCATTTGTCAAAGAATCTGACGTTCTAATCCAGAAAGCTGATTTTTTTTAGCATCACAATCACGAGCCCGTATAAAACCATGACCAATTAACACAATAACATGTCCAGAGCCTTCAGTATGCGAACACAGGCGCGTGTTTATATGCGCTCACCCACGCACGCATACACACACCCCCTCGAAGCGCTTGCTGGCACACATATGTGGGCTGTGTGAATGTTGGCAGCGCGTTAGTCTTGCAGCGGAGTGGATAAGATGTGCTGTCAGGTCTTGTCTGCAGGCGGTGTGTGTGTATTCCCCGCCACTGAGACTAAATAGGAGTTTAATTCTTTTAACAGCCAGTTCACGGCGAACTCTGCGGGGCCCGGGCCCCCGGTCCACCAGGCGGTGGGAGACCGTGGCGGAGCGAGAACTGCTGGGAGCCAAATAAAAAATCGATGAAGATCTTCGCGGCTACGGGTTGGAGTTTAACGGCGATTTCTGCTTTACTCTCTCCAGACCTGAGCCCAGGAAAGAGCCATTGATTTTCCCTCTCTCTGCATCTTAGCCTTGTTCTCTTTCAATAAATATCAGCTGCCGAATGTGTGTTTGGCGTGAATGGTGTCGATCTACACTTCAGGACTTACGCTGGAGTTCTGTGGCATTACTGTCGGTCAGCGGCGTTTGGAAGTGGAGTTTTCATACCTCTCAGCCTCAGCTAGAGTTCACAGGATTCCTCCTCCTCGTATGTTGAGCTATTCTCTGTGCATTCGCTGACAATGGACATGTGCCCATGTTTTATTCAGCTCCCGTTAGATCAATAATGCACTGTGAAGAAGAGCCCTGGTGAGGGAGAGAAGGAGAGAGAGAGAGGTATAAGAGTCAGATAATCATCATCGCACACAAACTGAACGAATAAAGACTAAGATCTTCCTTCAACACCATCAGCTTCATTTAGCTTCAGTTGTGTCTCCCTCTTCAGGGCTGAAAACACAGAGTCCTGCTTTAAAGAGCCTCAGACTCTCATCATCAACATGACAAATGCTGGGTTTCACACAATTCCTTCATGTTGACCCAAAACACAAATCGATTAGGTTACCTTAATTGTTTGTGCTAATTTAAGTGGACTTAAAATAATTAAGTTGCCCGCTGGGAGACAAAAAATCATGTAGTTTCAGCTCATTTTAAATAAGTTGTTTAAACAAACAGAAAAGGAAAAATAAGTGTGATGGATCATTTAAAACCAGCTTCATAGTCTTGATTTTGAGTCTGATTCCAGTGACGCTCCAGGGACAGGCGAGTCTTCCAGCCTCCACCGCGATGACTGAAGCTCTGCACAAGACTTTTGGCCAGCGGAGAAATTAAAATGGTCGTGCCCAACTGAGTCTGGTTCTCTCAAGGTTTTTTTTCTTCACTCTCCTATCAGGTGAAGTTTTTTTTCCCTCTCCGCTATCGCCACTGGCTCGCATGGTTCAGGATTGGTAGAGCTACGCATCGATGAATTTGCTCTTCGGTGTTTGAACTCTCAGTAATGATTAAATCACACTGAACTGAGCTAAACTGAACTGAACTTAAACACTAAAAACTGAACTACACTGTTCCAGTTACTATGACCATTTATGTGAAGCTGCTTTGACACAATCTACATTGTAAAAGCGCTATACAAATAAAGCTGAATTGAATTGATTTTAGTCTGATAATTAAATCTGGTACTGGGAATATATACTTTTGAGGCAATTTCTAAATGCTAATAATGCATTGCATCTAATACAAAATGTATTCAAATGCATGTGAATAGCATTGCACTCCTAAAAATAATGTTTGCACGCACACATACACACACACACTACCTGACATAAGTGTTGTCGTGGATCCCAGTTGTAAGAGCAACAAATAATAACATGATTTCTAGTTGATCATTTGTAAAGTGGCAGAAGGTAAATTTTTCCGATGAATTATCTGTTGAGCTGCATCCCAATCATCACCAATACTGCAGAAGACCTACTGGAACCTGCATGGACCCAAGATTCTCACAGATATCAGTCAAGTTTGGTAAAGGAATAATAATGGTTTGGGGTTACATTCAGTATGGGGGCGTGTGAGAGATCTGCAGAGTGGCAACATCAACAGCCTGAGGTATCAAGACATTTGTGCTGCCCATTACATTACAAACCACAGGAGAGGGCAAGTTGTTCAGCAGGATAGCACTCCTTCTCATACTTCAGCCTCCACATCAAAGCTCCTGAAAGCAAAGGAGTTCAAGGTGTTTCAGGATAGGCCAGCCCAGTCACCAGACATGAACATTATTGAGCATGTCTGGGGTAAGATGAAGGAGGAGGCATGGAAGATGAATCCAACAAATCTTGATGAACTCTAGGAGTCCTGCAGCTTTCTTTGCCATTCCAGATGACTTTATTAATCAGTGATTTGAGTCATGTCAGAGATGTATGGATGCAGTCCTCCAAGCTCATGATGGAGTCAGACACAATATTCATTCTGTCTCCACTGCAGCAGGACTTTATATTCTATACTGGACATTATTTCTGTTCAGTGATGAGACTTTTGTCTCAGTAGTCAGACCTTACTGTCCTAATTAAATCATTAAAAATCAAGGCATGATCATATTTTATTTTGGTAAAATAAGCTTAATATAGAGGCCTTTGCCTTTCATATAAGCCACTTCTGATACCAAATGATCAACTAGAAGTCAAGTTATTATGTGTTGTTCCTTAAACTTAAAAAGGCGACAAGACTTTTGAATTGTGTACATATACACACTAATATATAATACTAATATACTTCTTAAATAAATATACTTAAATATATATATTCAACATAAATATACTTCAAACAATTATAATTCTGACTACATAAAAATACTTAGTGACGTTGAAATGGAAAAGTAAATAAAATGGCAAAAATTACTAAAGAATAAAGAACAAAACACAAATATTTCAATTATGGTAAAATAACTTCGCTATACGAGGTCATTCACGCATGAGCATGACTTCAGAATGCAGCAACTGACCAATCAGAGCTGACTATTCACACAGACACACTGAGTAAATGGAATTATTTACAATTCTAAACAGTTTGTCTGTATGTGCTAATTGGAGACATTTAATTCCATATGAAAAGGCCTAAAGCAGCTCGATCCTGAGGCTCGGGTCCCCAGTGTCACACGCAAGAGTGACAAAGCTTCCATCTGTCAGCGAGGGCCAGGGGTCTCTGAAAAGGCCAGAGCAAGCGCTAAGGGCCGATCCAGCCGACAGCAGGGGCCCGGGGACAGAAGACAAGCTAAAGACACCGCAGTCTGTCAAACAAACACTCCTGAGCTCTTATTAGGAAAGACCAGGCTTAGAAATAAACCAGTGTTTTACAATAGAATAGATCTGTTCTGCTCTATATGCCTTGCAACTTCAATGAATTTACAGACTGGATTTAATCTAACAAAATATAAAAAATGGCCATAAATAAGATATTAAAGTACATTAAAAAGGCTAATATTTTACTGCTAAATTAAAATGGCACCCAAATATGTTATACTTATTTAGCTACTACTAAGTGGTTGTGGACAGTAACTATGTTGTTGTTGTTGTTGTTGTTGTTTTGTTTGTACCTCCCTTAAGCACCTGTTTGAAGCATTTGTACATTCTTATTTGTATTTTAGGATACATTTAATTCACTACATGCCATTTGCTGAATGCAGTTCAGTTATTTTAGAGTAGACAGATAAGATGATGGTGACTAATTCAGGAATAATCTTGTATTTTATTAGTTAACCCGTTACATCATTTCATAATTAAACATTTAATTTGTGAATTGGACTGATTTGTTCACGGGTAAACAACTCACTGATTCAAATGATCTGTTCAGATTGAGTCTTAAGTAAATGATTCACTGATTCAAATGATCTGTTCAGATTGAGTCTTTAGTAAATGATTCACTGATTCAAATTATCTGTTCAGAGTGATTCTCCAGTAAATGATTCACTTATTCAAATGATTGATTTAGAGGTAGTTTCCGGTAAATGATCCACTGATTCAAACGATCTGTTTAGAGTGAGTCTCCAGCAAATTAATTACTGATTTAAATTTTCCATTCCAATTGAAACTTCAGTAAATGTTTCACTGATTCAGCTCAACCATTCAGAGCGAGCCTTCTGTAAATGATTCACACATTTAAATATGTTCAGAGTGAGTCTTCAGTAAATGATTCACACATTTAAATGAACAAAGAGCGAGTCTCTAATACAGGGGTCACCAATCTCGGTCCTGGAGGGCCGGTGTCCCTGCAGGGTTTAGCTCCAACTTGCCTCAACACACCTGCCTGGATGTTTCAAGTATACCTAGTAAGACCTTGATTAGCTTGTTCAGGTGTGTTTGATTGAGGTTGGACCTAAAATCTGCAGGACACCGGCCATCCAGGAACAAGTTTGGTGACCACAGCTCTAATAAATGATTCACTGATTTAAATGATCCATTTAGAGTGAGTCTTCAGAAAATGATTCACTGAATCAAATGATCTATTCAGAGTCTTCAGTAAATTATCCACTGATTCAAAAAGACCCGTTTAGAGCAGGGGTGTCCAAACTCGGTCCTGGAGGGCTGATGTCCCGCAGATTTTAGCTCCCGCTTGCTTCAACACACCTGCAAGGAAAACCTAGTAAGAGCTTGATTAGCTAGGCCAGCTGTGTCTGATTGGGGTTGAAACTAAACTTTGCAGAACACCGGCCCTCCAGGACTGAGACTGGACATCCCTGGTTTAGAGTGAGTTTCCAGTAAATGTTTCACTGATTCAGCTCATCAATTCAGAGTGAATCTTCAGTAAATGATTCACACATTTAAATATGTTCAGAGTGAGTCTTCTATAAATAAGTCACTGATATAAATGATCTGTTCAGAGTGAGTCTCTAATAAATGATTTACAGGTTTAAATGATCCATTCAGAGTGAGTCTTCAGTAAATGATTCACACATTTAAATATGTTCAGAGTGAGTCTTCAGCAAATGATTCACACATTTAAATGATCTGTTCAGAGCGAGTCTCTAATAAATGATTCACTGGTTTAAATGATCCATTTAGAGTGAGTCTTCAGAAAATGATTCACTGAATCAAATGATCTATTCAGAGTCTTCAGTAAATTATCCACTGATTCAAAAAGACACAATAAGAGCAAGGGTGTCCAAACTCGGTCCTGGAGGGCCGGTGTCCTGCAGATTTTAGCTCCCGCTTGCTTCAACACACCTGCAGGGATGTTTCTAATATGCCTAGTAAGAGCTTGATTAGCTAGGCTAGCTTTGTCTGATTGGGGTTGGAACCAAACTTTGCAGGACACCGGCTCTCCAGAGCCGAGTCTGAACATCCCTGGTTTAGAGTGAGTTTCCAGTAAATGTTTCATTGATTCAGCTCATCCATTCAGAGTGAGTCTTCAGTAAATGATTCACACATTTAAATATGTTCAGAGTGAGTCTTCAGCAAATGATTCACACATTTAAATGATCTGTTCAGAGCGAGTCTCTAATAAATGATTCACTGGTTTGGATTATCCATTTAGAGTGAGTCTTCAGAAAATGATTCACTGAATCAAATGATTATTCAGAGTCTTCAGTAGATTAGCCACAGATTCAAAAAGACCTGTTTAGTGCAGTGGTGTCCAAACTTGGTCCTGGAAGGCCGGTGTCCTGCAGATTTTAGCTCCCGCATGCTTCAACACACCTGCAGGGATGTTTCTAATATGCCTAAGAAGAGCTTGATTAGCTAGGCCAGCTGTGTCTGATTGGGGTTGGAACTAAACTTTGCAGAACACCGGCCCTCCAGGACTGAGACTGGACATCCCTGGTT